ATATGCTTTAGCCTCCAGTCCCCTAATCATCTTTGTTACTCTTCTCTGTACTCTTTCTAGAGTCTCAGCATCTTTTTTACATCGCGGTGACCAAAACTGGAATCAGTATTCCAAATGTGGCCTTACCAAGGCCTTGTAAAGTGGTATTAACACTTCATGTGATCTTGAGTGCTATTGCTACTGAGCAACGACAGCGATTTACTTTAACAACGGTAGCAAGAAGGTCGTAAAATGGGAGAAAATTCATGTAACCAATGTCTCACTTAATGGGAGTAACAGAAAGTTTGTGGTCATCAGTCAAGGGCTATCTGTACAGAGTGGAATGTTACATGGCGACTTCCATTGTTCTCCCCCCACCCCAAGGTCTTCTCTCTAAAGGGGCCTTGTGTAGTTTCTAATCCCATTAATGGGAAATAGACTTCCCAACAACAAGGCCGGCCAGAAAGTGAAGTTGCCACCAAATGACCCCATTGCCTCCAGCAACTGCGTGGCATGCTGAGACATTAAATGCGGCGAATGCCATAGATTCATATATTACGTTGCTGTTTTTCATCTGTTCTTTCAACTGGGTAGCTTTCCTTCATCTGTCATATTAGTGGAATTAGGTTCTCAGACTGCTGGGTTTGGACTGACATTCCTTGCTCTACTCTGCGTCCAATTCCTTGCATTCCATCCTTTTTTTTTAAAAAAAAAAAAGGCACATTTTTTTTCTCTCCCTCAGATTTGACAGCAAAATATAAAATATCTCCAAATTGGTCACAAATGTGCTCCCCACAAAATAATACAGCTGAAAGTGATTTAATTCCAGCTCTTTCTCCCTATTAGCCTATTTACCCAACTGTTGGGAGAGCTGAAAATGAGATTTCTATCAAAAGAGCCATTAAGTCAAAATGTACCCAGCGGTGGATTAAACGTATGCCAAATATATACCAGTTTCAGATTTTTGAATCAAAACAAGTTATTTTGATGAAGCAATGGCCTCCCGCTGCAAGTGTTTATTGTTTTTCCATTAGGGTGTTTGCCATGACACTTCCAGAGTATAACTCTCCTTGTTTTTCTAAGAGGTGGCCATGTGAGTCTCTTTTTTTTAATTGAAAAGTTTTATAAAAATTACAATATACATCCCAAAACCCCCCCACCCTAACCCCCCCTCTCCCTCCCGCATTTCCCAGAGCTGAGTACAGGGTTACAAATATAATAATCAAACTCTAACTAACATTAACCAAGTATATAAATAACCAAGTCCATAATGCATTTTAACTCCCCTTTAACATAAGTATAAACAAATTAAAAATAAACATAATATAAACAAATCAATATCCTAATTATTAAACAATACAATATCCAAATTGTTAAACAATACTAATACTAAAAATAATAATAAAACTAATAAAAATTCTACTATAATAAACTATTAATAATAATAATAATACTCTAAAATTTACTCATAAACTAGATGGAACTTTTTAGTCCCATATTTATTCTGAATATAATCTATCCATTAGAAGGCCAGATCCTGAAGTTGAAACTCAAATACTTTGGCCACCTAATGAGAAGGAAGGACTCACTGGAGAAGGGTCTAATGCCGGGAAAGATTGAGGGCAATAGAAGAAGGGGACAACAGAGAATGAGATGGCTGGATGGAGTCACTGAAGCAGTAGGTGTGAATTTAAATGGACTCTAGAAGATGGTAGAGGACAGGAAGACCTGGAGGAACGTTGTCCATGGGGTCGCGATGGGTCGGACATGACTTCGCAATTAACAACAACAAAAAAAAATCTATCCATCTTCTCCAGACCAAAATGTATCTTTCTTGTGAATGATCCTTCAAGTAAGCAGAAATCTTAGCTATTTCTGCTAAATTTGACACTTTAAGCGTCCATTCTTCTATAGTAGGCAAACAATCCTTCTTCCAATATTGCCCTACCAATAACCTTGCAGCTGTTGGCCATGTGAGTCTTAATGCAAAACCAACCAAGGGTTTTGGGTCACTTTCAAGCAATGTTTTTCAACCTCAGCTTGAGATTGAGATATCTGGACTTCAACTCCCAGGATTCCCCAGCCAGCATTCCCCAAGTCCAGAGATTTGAATGTTGCAGAGCTTGAGAAACACTGCTTTAAAAACTATTTATACTATCACATGAGATTTTGTGGATCCTCTTCATCTGAGAAATGTCAATTAGACAAATGGATGCTGTCATAAAGTAAATGTTGTAATTAAGGTTCCATAAGTCTTCTCGAATCTTTGGGGACGGAAGAACTTTTTTTTTCTGTCCCCAAAGTGATACGAATTAGTGATAGGGGTGATTCTGTCCAATCAGGGATGATGTAATTAAAGAGACATTGTACAATTGGTTTGAATGAAAGTTAACCCCAGTCTTTAGTAACTGGGCACAGGGCATCTGGTTTAGATAAATCTCTTAGCTCTTGAATTTTTTTCAGCTGAAGCCCAAATTTCACCTCTGTGGGAAATCATAGTAACCTGAAATTTATACAGAACCTTTTAATTCAATTTCAATATAATTTTAAATTGGTTTATATTCATCTTTTTACCATTTGTGAGCTTCTCAGATTCACGGTATCAGTGAATTTGACAATATATAAATTGAATAAACAATAACAACAACAATAACAGCCAAGTGCAAAAGGCAGTTTTACTTGGTATAGCTTACATTCAGTGACAATACCTTTAGCACCATCAAACAACATCATCTGCCCCACCTGGGTCCTTGGGTGGATGAAAATGTAGCTACAAGAATAAAGTTAAAACTTTGGCTGTTTTTTTTTTATGCGCAATGGCCTCACAGCCACCATCTTGACTTTTCTTACCATAATCTGCAAACTTTCTTGAACCCAGGAAATCCTGGCTGTAGCTCAGGGTTGAACTGTGAAGTCCTTGATGGTCCCTAAGCTTGGTTGTTTGTTTAAAGATATTTCGTTACTCTAGTCAAGGAACTGCCAACTCAGATAACCAAGCTAACACTAAACAACCGTAATCAAGGAACTACCAGGCACCAATGATAGCAATAGGAATAGCACTTATATACCGCTCTATAGCTCTTTCCAGCGCTCTCTGAGTGATTTACAATGTCAGCATTAATGCTCCCAACAATCGGAACTGACCTTGGAAGGATGGAAGGATGGATCGAACCCCAGACTGTGAGCAGAGTTAGCCTGCAATAGTGCATTCTAACCATTGCGCCACCAGGGCTCATGACGTTGCTACCTAGTTTGGTAATGAAATGTCTGCAAGAAAACAACCACGCTCAGAGACCACCAAGGACCCCGCAATCCTGCTTTTGTTTATCTCGCATCAACACTCCACCCTTTGTAACTCTCCAACAGCCACAAAATTGCCCTGTTGCCCTTTCTTTTTTAAATAGTGGAACTGTAATGATGCCCCTAGGTTTTTTAAAGAAATGTATGGAAAGCAATTTCAAAGAGAAATGGAACATATTTCATGTTTAATTATAAAAATCACAGAGAAGGTGAGGCTGAGAAAAAAAGGGGGATGTTTTAGTTCCATAGAGGGGTGCCAGCGCTGCTTCCATCATACTGCAGAGGCTGAATATTTAAAGAATGGAAAAGCAGGGCTGGGCAGGCCAAAATAACCAAATGTTTCCCATATAATATAATTCGGTCTGATTTAACCTCATGATGGTCAAAATAAATCAAAGCGACATCTTGGCTCTTTGTGCACAGACATCCCAACATTCACTCTGCCAGGCCCAAAAGCAAAGGCTCTGGATTTCCACGACAACAAATCATGATTGTCAACATGGTTTTTATATAGCAGCTGTTAGGGCAGTGTTCCTCAACCTTGGCACCTTGAAGACATGCAGATTTCAATTCCCAGAATTCCCCCAGCCAGCAAGCAGAGCTGTTCGCCCTGTGAGGTAGTCCAGATAGGAAACCCAACTAGGAGTGTCCAGCTCCATCTTTACTATGTACTATAAAGTTACATTAACAGATCTTGCAAGTCTGAAAGTCTTTCTGCCTTCCTTTCCTTTTACTCTCCATAAAACCAGGGAGGGCCCCTTCTGAAATAGCTCCTGTTTCTGTGGGCTGAGATGTAATTTTTTTACATTTTTAAAATTAATTTTCTAATATTACATTTGCATATTTGAAAAGCAACGTGGCAGCCGAGTACAATAATTCCATTCCATTTAAATATCATCAATAAAAATCTCAAAGTATTACGACAACTAATTCCCTCTCTTTCCCCCTTAATATATACTGTCTCATATTCAAACCAACACAATTCTTATTCTACCCATCAAACAGAAAATAACTTTCTAGCATTCATCAATATCTTAATAGGGCTGAGATATATTCTCCAGTCTGTGTCTCTCCCTTCCCGTCTTCCAAGGTCATTCCCAGGGACCATTACAGGAGCCAGTTTGTGGAGTTTGGGCCAGGCTCAGAAGCTTTCTGGTTAGTAAACAGTCTACATCCAGTTTTGATCCCCACATTACAAAAAAGAGGTTGAGACTTTGGGAAAAGTGCAAAGAAGAGCAACTAAGATAATTAAATGCCTGGAGACGAAAACATATGAAGAACAATTGCAGGAGTTGAGTTTGGCTAGAGAAAAGAAGGACTAGGGGGGACATGATAGCAGTATTCTGGTATTTGAGAGGTTGGCACAGACAGGAAATGGTCAACCTATTCTCCAAAGTATCAGAAGGCGAAACAAGAAACAATGGATGGCAACTAATCAAGGAGAGAAGCAACTTGGAACTAAGGAGGAATTTCCTGACAGTGAGGACAATTAACCAGTGGAACAGCTTGCCTTCAGAAGTTGTGGGTGCTTCATCACTGAAGGTTTTTAAGAAGGGACTGGACAGTCACTTGTCTGAAATGGTATACGATCTCCTGCTTGAACAGGGGGTTCGACTAGAAGACCTCCAAGGTCCCTTTTGATTAATAAAAGTTCACCCGTGCAAGTGGACCTGAGACAAAATCAAAACACTTTATATCCTGAATATCCTGAAAAAGCAAACCTGTTTGCTTTGAGGTTCTTCCAAGCAGAAACAGCGCGTGTAAACCTTGCCTTCCGTTTGGGGGTTGATCTCAATCAATTCATTGTTCTCCATAACTTCTACATCCCGACGTGTTTTGGAGGCTTCCGGAAAACACTGTTGAAATAGAATCAAGGATCAAAATAATACAGAGATGGAAAGCATTTATAAGTTGGTATGTTCCTAGTGGCTTTGGAAATGAGAGGCTACATTTTTGGGATTCAGGGTTTTTAATTCACAACACTTTTAAGAAGGCAGAGTTGTCTGGTTTATTAATAACTCCCAAGCCACCAAAGAGAAAGCAAACCCTGTTATGGTGCATCCATATGATATATAAACCCAGCTATTGTCATGGGTTAGAAACCGTTGACAACATTTAAGGATGAGTAGAATTACCATGAATGTCTTGATTTTCTACTTATTGACAAAACTCACTAGGGCTTACTTCTGATTCATCTCTGAGATCAATAGCAGTTTTGCAAAATATCCAGAGGTCCACTTTGAAAATGGCAGCGGTTCAAAATACGAATTGGTCTTCTTAAGAAATGAGGACAATTAGTCAATGGAACAGCTTGCCTCCAGAAATCGTGAGCGCTCCATCACTGGAGTTTTTAAGAAGAGACAAGACAGTCACTTGTCTGAGATGGTATAGGTTCTCCTGCTTGAGCGGGGGGGAGGGGGGGCTGGACTAGAAGATCTCCAAGGTCCCTTCCAGATTCTATTCTATTCTATTCTATTCTATTCTATTCTATTCTATTCTATTCTATTCTATTCTATTCTATCTTTTATTCTATTTCTATCTTTTATTCTATTTCTATCTTCTATTCTATTCTATTCTATTCTATTCTATTCTATTCTATTTCTATCTTTTATTCTATTCTATTCTATTCTATTCTATTCTATTCTATTCTATTCTATTCTATTCTATTCTATTCTATTCTATTCTCATTAAAGACCACAATGAATGCAATGATGTGCCCATGAATTCAGATTTCCATTGAATTGAAATTCTTGCTTATACTGGTGGTCTTTGACTTACAACAGTTCATTTAGTGACCATTGGAGATTACATTGGCAGTGAAAAAAGTGACTTAGATCGCTGTTCACACTTACAACCATTGCAGCATCCCTGTGGTCACGTGTTCAGAATGCAGACCCTCAGCAACATGCATGTATTTTTGACGGTTGCAATGTTCATGCAATTCCCTTTTGTGAGCTTCTGACCAGTAAAGTCAATGTGGAAGCCAGATTCACTAAACAACCGGATTACTAGCTTAACAATTGCCGTGATTCACTTAACAGCTGTGGCAAGACAGGTCATAAAATGGGGCAAAGCTCACTTAACAACTGTCTCACTTAGCAACAGAAATGTTGGGCTCCGTTGTGGTCCTAACTCGAGAACTATCTGTACATTAAGTTGAGAACGTGAATGCTGGAGAACAGCCTTGCTGGATGAAGGTGATCTGGTCAGCTTTCCATTTCCCATGTTAATCTGCTAGGAGCATCTGCAGTAGAAGACAGATCTCTTCTACTCTTATTCCCGAGCATCTAGTAGTTACAGGAATACTAATCCCTGGTTTAGATAGCTGAATAAAAGCATGCTGCTTAAGCTGCAAGTAATAGATGTTTAACCTAGACAAATCATTCAGACACTTTTGGGTGTGGGTGTGGGTATGGATGTGTTTGCACGCCCAGACATAATACTCCCGGAAGATTGTCCATTTATGTTTGCAGATAAGCATCTGGTGATTCTAGGGTAACATGGAAAGACGCAGGAACATTCCATAACCCTCCCAGTCATTCATAATTAAAAGTGTCATTTTTATTTTTTTATTTTATTTTTTTCGCAAAGCCTGAACAATTACTCACCCCACTGTCGGAGATCTCACAACATCCCTCGTGCATTGCCATGGCTGGGTCACAGTAGATGTGCAGCTGCTGAATGTCAAACTAGGAAATATAAACAAGCATGGTTTTAGGTCAAAATTAAAATCCCGGAAAGAAAGCTTGCATCCTTCAGCTCCCGGAGAAGAATCCTAAACCAACTTTCAACACTGAGTATGTGAGAAACATTTTTCTACACCTCACACCGTTTTGGGATAGAATTGCTGGGAGCAAAGTCTTAACCCTGAATCCTAGGTTTTGTGGGCTGCAGACACGGCATCAGGCCAATGGCTTCCATCTCAGGACTAGCAGCTAATCTCAGATGTCTTGAAATATTGGCTCCAGGAGGCTTGCAGGACATCTGCTTTGAATCAGAGGAGCACTGATAGTGATGAAAGTATGTTGATTTCCTCCCCTGGTTTCCTTTTTTTTGATTTTCTGGGGAGGGAGTATGGCCTTGATCCAAAGTGAAAGAAAAAAACACAGGCCTGGTTGTTTCTTCTCTCTAGTTCCATCCTTTCAGTGCTTGAGTCACATCTCTTTGGAAGCTGCCTAGATATCAGGCGTGGTCTCATACGGGTCAGCAGCCCATGAGTCATGAACCTCCCCACCATGACTTCACTCATATTATAAGCTGCACAAGTTCTGGCAAGGAGATTTCTGGACCAGATTGCCAAATGAGAGCATCATATGCACCATCACTTTCTTCTCTTCCAACCATCACCACAAGCCACAAGACAGGGGCTCTTCAGGATCTGCCCAAAATCGAAAGTAAGTCTTTCCCCAGCGTGATCCTATTGAATCTCTTTAACAAGATTTACTGGGATGAAAGGGATGGGACTGAAGGAATTCCAGCAACTGAGCTATTTCCCATCTACAACCAACACATCTCCAGAGTAGAGAGATCTTTATTTTCTTTCTGTTTTTCTCAGTACCAGGGAAGTGGTGGATCTTTTCACTGTTAACATGGGAGGGTGCATCTGGTTGTTTAAACCACTTTCTTTATAGATCTCAGAACTAACCATTACACTGGATCTCTTCTCCCTACCTCCCTCACCTTTGACCCATGCTTTTCCACAGGCCTGTATTTCTACTGCTTCCCTACACAGCGTTTGTACTACAGTTCTTCAGCCATCACTTGTAGTAGGCTTCTTCTATGGGATGCCTGGTAAATTTTGTAGAGGGTCCTGCATTTGCACCCTCAACAGGTAGCAATGACATCAGGTAGGAGAGTACCATGAAACTGTCCATCATACGTAAGAGTATACTAGCCAGGATTTGTGACCTCTTGCCAAGTTGACCACCATAAAAATTAATTGTAGAATCTATGGGTGAGCCAGCCTCAGATTTGGATCAGCTCTCCTAACAGAAGCCACAGGATGGAAAAAAAGGTTGTGTATGAATTCTTTTTTTTGTTTTTGTTGTACACCTAATATTTGGAATCTATTAAGATATCAAGAATTGTTGGGTTTTGGAGACATGGCTGAAGGTATGATCATACAATTCTAGAAGAAGAAATCAGCTTTGTAAGAGTGGATTTTTGAAATATATTGTTCACCAATGATTAAATGAAGTTAGGGTTCTTTGGATGGAGAGACAAGGAAACTGACTTCTGAGTACTATCCTCAAATGTTTTGGCGTTACCAATTTATCACATAATTACCCATTTTTTAAAAACTACATACAATCATAGAATTGTAGGGCTCGAATGGGCCCTGAAAGTCTTTTAGTCCAACTTCCAGCCCAAGGCAGGAGTTTTAATTAATTATTAGATTAATTAATTATTCTTATAATTAATGTTGAGGCTATGCTGTTAATACTGTTGTAAGTACACTTTTATCTTCTGCTAATTAGTCTGATACAAATTTTTATATAGAACTCACACTCACCTACTTCCTAGCCTGGTGCTTTAACTCTCTTGGTTTTGGTAACAACTTTCTAAGATAAGCTAAATAGTGCTGGCAAGTTTATTTATTTATTTATTTATTTATTTATTTATTTATTTATTTATGAGACTTATATACCGCTTTAAGTACAGGCACTCTCTAAGTGGTGTACACCAGTAAGCAATGTATGTATATATTTGCATTGCCCCCAACAATCTGGGTCCTCATTTTACCTACCCTGGAAGGATGGAAGGCTGAGTCAACCTTGAGCCGGTGAGATTTGAACCGCTGACCTGCTGAACACAGTCAGCTAAAGTGGCCTGCAGTACTGCACCCTAACTGCTGCGCCACCTCGGCTCATATTTCATGTTTACCTATGATAAATTACCTAATGTTGGTGTGAGAGATGGTGCCCATAGAGGGGGAGCAGGAGGGGTTAGTTTTCCAGGAAGGATGCAATACATTCCAGACAGGGGAAGAAGACAAGAGGTAGCACAGCCCAGAATTGGATAAGAAACAGAGGAAGAGATTAAAGGCACCCACTCTCTAGAATCTCCCAGGGCATAGCCATTAGTAATAGTAATAAAAGTTCAGTCTAGCAAGAGTTGGTCTGCCATACGTAAGCAAATAAACAACCGAACTCTGGCTGAGTTGTTCCCTGTCATTCAGTTAGGTGCAAAGAATCAGGATCATTTGTAAAATTGCAGCATGGAAGATTTATTCAGACCTGTACATAAGGATCTGATCAAGTAACAGTCAGCACTAAATTGGTACTAGATAAGGGTCAATGGAAGTCAAGGCAAGGCTGGTTGGGTCTCTTGTGACAAAGACTCTAAACTGATGATGCACTTCACTCCACAGCTCTGCCTGCTCTTCCATAAGTTCTTGGGTTTAGCTTGAAGGTTGGTGCCCTGAGGAGCTACCCTTGGTTCTGAGAGGCTCTCCCAAAATGGGTGTGGCCAAAGTGGACAAGCCCATTCAAAGTAAACGAACAAGACAAAGAGCTAGGCACACACACAGACACCCAATCAGACATTCACCTTTACCCATACATTCTCACATGTAAATACTTTCAAGCTATTTCCACACTTAAGCACAATACACCCCTTTTCCAGGCTGACAACTACCAAAGGCTGCTTTCTTTTCACAGCCATCCACTAAAAAAAGAAAATAGAAAAGAGAGAAAACCCCACAATTAAAACTGCAGAGTTTAGAATGATGTGGAAATTAAACTGCTAGTTTTGTAACTTCCTGGTTGTGTGAATAAAATTACAGATATATAAAATAATGTATGTAGTTCTATAAATACCCACAGACAAATGAGCACATACTCAGCAAAGTGCAGGTGGAAGTAAAGGGGGCCTTGGGGGCCTCTTTTAATGCATTGTGCATATCCAGACCAACCGTGTTTTGTTAACTTGGGTTGAGTTTAGTATGCTGCATTAATCCAGGGCTGGGAAGGTCTTACGGAAAGAGAATGTGGTACAATAGTGCCAAGTCAGAGGCCTGGCCCAGAACAAGCTTTTTGAATTTATCTGCTTGATTTATCTCAGAATGCACTCTCACCAAAATAGCTTAGTTTCTCGTTCATTATGCATTGGATGATCAGCTCAAATGCTTTCACAATTGCTTCCTGGAACCACACCGTTAGTGCAATTGGATTTGTTTTTTGTTTTGTTTTTTTTGTCTTTATAATTATGCAGATTCCCTTGCCTTACTCTTTCAATTTTTCTGCAGCTTTGGATCAACTCCCTGCAATTATTTTACCCATTTTTAGCCTCTTGTGCATTTTAGCAATGCTCGAATTCCCCTAGAAGGAATTTCATCAGTATTATTTTAGCAGTTTTAGTTTTTCTTGAAATTCCTCTGGTATTTTGTTTTCCTTCAGGAAACAAAATAGATTCACCTAAATTTCTGCTGAAGCAAGATTCTATCACAACCTTAAAAGATTTACAGAACAACATTGCTAGTGTGTACTTTGGGAAGCTAACACTGCACAGAAACCTCTAGATTTCTCTAAAATGTTCAGCAAAATGTGACGGCAATTCCTGATGAAATTTAGCTCTCATAGATGTCTAACTATTACCATTCAAAGCACTTAAGATCCTGCTTCCACTCAGCTGTGTTTTGGACTTGTCCATGGTTTCTGCACATACTGTACATATGCAGTAATATGGTCTGGTGCCACCCAAGTCCAGATGGGACATTGCACAGAAGTTTATGGATATTAACAAGATTAGGGTCCCATGGGACTTCTAGAACAAATGGACAGGCAGGTACTGGGCAATCAAGCAGATATTGTGGTGGTAGAAAAGAATCAGAAGACAGAGGTGGAGATAGATGTATCAGTGCCAAGTGACAGCAACATTAGGAAGAAGGTATATGACTAACTGGAGAAGTACTGGGGCCTGAATGATGAACTGGAGAAGATGTGGAAGGTGGAGGCCAAAGAGGTCTCAATGTTAGTAGGAGTACTCGGGACTGTAACTTCTAAGCTGGGAGAATAGCTCCAATAGATCCCAGGAAGAACATCAGAGCTCTCTTCTCCGGAAGAGTGTAGTGCTAGGAACAGCTAAGATTCTGCAGAGAGCCCTCACACTACCATGATCCAAGATTGAGGCAGACACAGGCCACCCATAAGAATGAGAAGGGAAATGTAGATACAGTATATTACGTGATGATATTAAATACCATCAAATTATGAATTAGGAAATCAATTATTAATAATAACATAAAATACAAGAACCAGTCAATCAATTCTGGATTCAATAAAGCTGATGGTGCCTGGAAAGTGATGATCAACAAGCAGAAACTTAAATATTTGAGCATGTGATGCAAGAAGACAATTAACTAGGAAAAGAAAATATCTGGACAAGAGTGAAGGAAATAATGAAGAGGTAGGATTAGGTGGATGGATAGAATCAAGAAGATTACAAGACTGTCCAAATCTGTTGGTTGTCACTGGAGACAGGTTGAGATGTTGGGCGTTCACAATCACCAGCAATCAAGCCCAGCTCAATGGCACATAGCTAGCATGATAGTAAAGTAAAAATTAATTTGTTATGACAAAAGGATATCTCCTTTTGAAGTCTGGCCAATCTTTGGACTAGATGGATTAATGTTCCAGACAAAATATTGAAATGCTGGGCATCTTCCTTCAGTTGGCCAACTTTCAGATGTTCTGGGACTACTAAAGTCCAGCATTCCCAATCAACATGGCCCTTGTCCATACTAAATGGGAATTCTGAAAGTTGCAATCTTAGAGCAAAGGTATTATGTAGATAAATATCTCACACATGCCTTATTTATCTCATGTGATGGGTCTCAGTGTATGTTTGATACTTAAGAACATTGTAAAAGTGCACAGTCATTCTATGGGTTATTCTGTCTTCATTGGCTATTATTGCTGTGCGGTTTATTTTAAGAGCCATACTGAACACATCGTATCCAGATTCTTCTCCCCCAAAAAGAAAACTTTGGAACTAAGAGGAGGAAAAAAAAACATTTCAGTTTTGGCTACCACTGTGATATTCTTCCATTCTCTTTGAAGGTGAGGACAAAGTCCAGAAATCAGGTAAATATTTGCAATATTTGTCCACTACATCTGAGGAAGGATGACAGAACAACAAGAAGCTAAAGCGTGTTAGTGTATCACAGCACACACCACCAAACTGAAATCAGCAGGACTGATGCCTCCCAGCTGTCTCTCACACAAAGAGAGCTGACTCTGTTACCACTGCAGTAGCTGAGGGCTTCACACTGACTCACATTCTCTAGAGCTACATTCCTTTGGAAATTGATCTTGCACCAAGAAAAATTGCCACTACAATTCAGGCATCATAAAAAGAAAAGAAAAACTGCAGCTAATATGGACCTGCTTCCTCAGGTTTGACAAAATGTCCAGAGCAGGTGTAGACAACCTCAACTCTTTTATGACTCATGGACTTCAAGTCCCAGAATTCCTGAGTCAGCATAGTTGACTCAGGAATTCTGGGAGTTGAAGTGCATGAGTCATAAAAGAGCCGAGGTTGCTTACCCCTGATCCAGAGCAATCCAGAGCTTGAAGAAAGACGATTGCCGGCAGATGCTACCTCTCCTGAAACTTTCTAAGGAGATACGGCAAGACACAAAATGTTTTTGAAGAGTTTTCCTCGCTTCCAAAAGGAAGTGGGAATCATCCAAGAAAATGGGAATGCTTGGCCAATGTGTTGGGTCTTCCAGGTATTCTTGAAGACTGTTTCAGAGGAGATACAGGCAGTGCTCAACTTACAACCACAATTGGGACCAGAATTTCCAGCAAGGAGGTTGTTAAATGAGTCTTGCCCAATTTTATGATCTTTTTTGCCATGATTGCTCCCTGCAGCTATGAAGTGAACCATGTACTTGTTAAGCAAAGGTCAACAAGGTTGCAAATGGTCCAGGATGCTGAAACTATGGTAATTGCTTGCCAAGGAGCAGGATTTTTGATCATGTGACTGTGGAGAGGCTACGATAGTTGTAAGAGTGAGGCCTTATCCAAAGGCACTTTTTTTTCAGTGCCATTGTAACTCTGAACGGCTGCTAAACACATGGTTGTGAGTTGAGGACTACCTATATAAGCAATGTATTAACAACTATAGAGTTTGTGTCTTTGTAAAGCTAACATTGGTCTGCCAAGAGATAAGACAAAAACGCCCCCAGCTTCTTTCAATCCTTTGTGTCTGTTATCTGTAGCTGTAAACTCATTATTCAATTAATCTGTCACTTTATACAGCTTGAGTACTCTAATATCCAGGCTCTTAGTTCTTGCTGGCTAGGAGCCTAATGATTACGGTATTTCTGTTAGCAAATAAAGAAAACCAATTTGAATCTCTCCAATTGTTTTGGCTCCATTTCTTTAATTTAAACATTAGTGCCAGAGAAGCTACACTGAGGCCTGTGGCTGCAAGTTATCCTTTTTTTTTTCTTGGAGGGGAAGCAAAATAGCTTGCCCAGCAGTCAGGTCAACTTGGAAAACTGGGCTCAGCTCAATTTGGAGATGTACCTCCTAGCCACAGGACGCTTACGTGTGCCCACGGCCACTGCTGCCCCCCATGACTTACCATCACCGGAGTCCCACGCACTGCCTCCAGCCCCACGAATGCGTTGCCTTCGCTGACCAACTGCTGGCGCAGCTGCAGAGGCTTAGATGAGATGTAACTGCAGTCAACGTGGACGGAGATCACCTGGGTTTGAAGGCTGACTGCCATTTTGTGCCACTTCAAGTCAAAAAGAGAGGTGATGCCTTTGCCAGCAAAGACCACGCCAATCAATTCCCCGTGACGGTCCTTGGCCTGGAACTCCAGACTTCGCTCTTTGCTGTTGATTCCCAGGGAGAGCTGAAAAAGTAGAAGGAAGAAGAGAAGGTGCTGAATAGAAAGATGTTCCTAAAAAGAGAGAGAGATGTAGGAGGGGAAGCAGGGAAGCTGAAAATGAAGGCTGAGTTGTTAGTGGAGAGAGAGGTGACCAGTCAGAAGGCTTTGCAGGTAGTCCCCAACTGATGACCACAGTTGGGACCAGAATTTCCTTCGCTAAGCAAGGTGGTTGTTAAATGAGCCCTGCCTAATTTTATGACACCCCCCCCCGGTGATTGTTAAATGGATCGCTGCAGCTGTTAACTGAATCATACAGTTGTTAAATGAACCCATCTTCCCCCATTGATTTTGCTTACTGGAAGCCAGCTGGGAAGGTTGTGGATGGTCATCCCATGAGCCCGAAGCCCATGGTAATTATATGTCAAGCATTTTGATCACATGATCGCATTGTTGTGGGGATGCTATGGTAGTTGTAAGTGCCAGGAACCTTCCTTGCTGCAACCATTGTAAAGACATACCGATGGCCAAGGGCCTGAATCCTGACCATGTGACAATGAGGAGGCTGTAAAAAGTCCTGGGAAGGCTGGGCACAAGTTACTTTTTTCAAGGCCTTTGTAATTTTGAATGGTCGTCAAACAAATGGTTGGGTGCAAACCAGCGTTTGCATTCCTTGCGTTGGATGAGGAGAGCACATCTTTCTCCTTCTGTCCTGGCTACTTTTTACAGAGGCATGATTGAGGGCATTTTAACAAACTGTATCCCTCTTTGGTTTGGTGGTAACAGAACCTCAGATAGAAGGTCCATACAGAGAGTGGTGCAGACAGCTGAGAAGATTATAGGAAGCTTGCTTCCTGTTATTCAGGATACTGCTTATAAGCACTTATATGTGCTTAGAGCTCGGCGCATTGTTAGAGGCCCCACACACCCATTTCACGGTCTGTTCCTGTTGCTCCCCTCTGGGAGGAGGTTTTGAAGTATTTATAGCAGAACTACTAGACTCTGTAACAGCCTAATTCCTTATGCCATGCAATCTTGTAAATTTGCAGGATTCTTTATTTTTCGCCATGTATATGTATACATTCAAATTAGGCTGTGATGTTTCTCTGGGTCATATATGTGTGTGTATGTGGGTATATATGCATAATGGTATTGGCACCTTCCGCAAACCCATGCCCATGACCGCACCAATCATTTTACGACCACTGCATTTGCTTAATGACCACTGCAAAAAAGTAATACAATTGTGTCATGTGACCTTCTTGTTTTACAACAGCTATGACTTATAACTGTAATTGGCAGGCTCCATTATGCTTTTAACTCTAGGACTATCTGTAGTGATATTTTGCTGTTAAAGAAATGGATCTTAAATTATAATAAAAATGAGATCTTCAGTAATAATAAATATCCTTAGAAACAAAGGGAGAGTTTTGTTCCGATGACAATATTATCCGGACGAAATTTTGAACACTTTTCTTGCAAATTAAGTTGGTTTAACCTGTCTAAATGTTATAAATCTAGTCATAAATATGTGGTAATAACAGGTAAGGATAGATGACTGTTCTACATTTCTGCATCATTTTTAAACTATGTAAAAATGAATATGATTTACATGAATTTCCTTTAATATATGCATGCTTACAGGCTCTTTTCCTTTATATAATGCTTTCATTTACTCATTTTCCTTAATATAATGCATGTTAATGCATATTTTAGTGTTCAGCCTGCCTTGCAACATTCTGAAAAGGTTACTTGGTACCTGACACATCTGAAGGTTATTTGATGCTTAACTGACTTGGAAGACAGCAAGCTGGGCTAGGCTCTCCACCCCACGCAGAGAATATTCCTTCTGCATCATATAATTGGAGAATTCTCCATCCTGTGGAGGTCAAGACAGTACATTGCTCCATGTCTCAATTTGAGGAAGCAGGCTGGGGTGATAATTGGTGGTTCAACAACTTGTGGGAACTCAGCCAATGCTTTGGTGTGTAATGTGAACGGGGTCACCACACTCAGCGGCCACCTTTCTTTCTGGATCCACCGCATGTGGAATGAACCCAGAGACCATACCTTATTAACTTGAGTTTAGAGTTGACTATATTTTCATGTATGCAAACGCAATCCCACTGACACCCTTAGCTGAAAGGGCAAGGTACGAAGCAGATCAAGCCTTGGGTGAGCTAATTCTGGGAAGGAAGGAAGGAAGGAAGGAAGGAAGGAAGGAAGGAAGGAAGGAAGGAAGGAAGGAAGGAAGGAAGGAAGGAAGGAAGGGGAAATAACAGGAAAACAATAGAGCAGAGAGGCGATGGAAAGACTGGACCAAGTTAGTTGGCTATACCTGGGGGTATCCTTGAGGATCAGTGATCTGGAAGAGATACCAGTTCTCTTTGGTAGTCTGCTTCTTCAAGAGTAGAGTGATGATCAAAGTGAATTCATCAGGCAAGCCCCGGGGGAACAGCTGTCTGGGAATAAAGAAGAGGACAGAGATGTGAGTAGACAGGTCTTTCCTCTTTTGGAACATATCATCTGCAGAGTCACTCAGAGGATACACCCAAATTGCTGGTCAAGTCCAATCATTAACTATTAGATTAGCCTTTGATATCTCCAAAGGTTGTTTTACCGTCTCAGAAAAGATCTCTTTCCTCATAGCCTAACATGCTTCAACAAGAGAATCAACAGAGAAGAGTCCTCTAGATGGATTTGTGCAAATTTTAAAATTTGATTTATTTATATTCTACCATTATTATTTTTAGAAATAAGTCAATGTGGCAAACACACTTAATATTCCTTCCTCCTCCAATTTTTACTCACATCAACAACCCTGTGAAGTGGGTTGGGCTGAGAGAAAGTGACTGACCCAAAGTAACCAACCTGGCCTTTATGCCTAAGGTGGATCTAAAACTCACTTTCGGCCAATCACCAGGAGACGGTGAGTTCTAGTCTTGCCTTACACATGAAAGTCATCTGGATGACTTTCAGCCAATCACCAGGAGATGGTGAGTTGTAGTCCCACCTTAGGTGACTCTGGGCCAGTCACATGGCTTGCCTTCTAAATTACGGGGGCTCCATTACTGGTGGTATTTAAGAAGAGATTGGACAGTTATTTGTCAAAAAATAATGTAGGGGGCCCTGCTATTGCAGGGGGGGGTTGGACTAGAAGACCTCCAAGGTCCCTTCCCAATCTATTATTCTGTTAAATATAAAAAGACTCCGTAAGAGTTACTATATGGCTAACTAAATCTATCATAATTCAAAACTCTCTCAACTAAGCAAGTCAAATACTCATTAAGGCTGGTTTGAGGCACAGGTCATCCTCTGGTGGATTTTAATCACTGCTGCATAACACCTGGCCTGATTGTATGTTGTAGTAGGATTAGTGCCTGCAAGCAGCAGGAGGGTATAAAATTGTCCTGTGCACCCAGGGTATTTATATAGTACTGGTGAAATGAGGCTACTATGAATATCTCTGTAGTATAGGCACTCAGAGAAGTAAGCATTATATCGTTCCTGTGTGTCCAGAGTCACGAGGACATTGTCTGTCCAGTTAGGGAATTTTCCTGCCTTCAAAACCACAGAGAGGAAGCATGAGAAGAAAGAAAACCCAAGATCATGTGACAAAATGCACACAGTTTGTCCCTCTGCTTCTATCCATGACTCGGCCGGATGCCACCTTCTGTCTAGGAAGCCTCGAGCAAACGTCTTCCATTATAAGGAGATCAGCCATGTAGGATGCAAGGAAAGATATTCACTGGTTTATTGTGACGTCCGCTTGTTAGAGGGGAAGTTATTTTTTTTTTAAAAAAATGTTGTTCTCAAATTAATCAAGAACAATCTGAGTTTATTCTGGGAGGCCCCTTTCAATTGTCAAGGTTGCGAATGAAGGACGCACTTGTTTATTTCTTCGCTAACGGTTCTGCTTCTGGCAACTGAAGAAATCCAACGTTTAATATGAATGAGGGTATATTCTTTTAATCAAGAGTGGGCTTTCCTTGCTTAATGGCAAATCATCTTTCTTCTTCTTCGGGACCTAAAGACAGGACACCCAGGGATAACATGCCAATTTTGTTAAATAAAATGGATTAAATCTATTTAAAGAGAGATGCTGATTCATCCATGTACCATCTCATTGGCTGGCCATGTCAAGCTCGAAAACTCAAGAAAAACAGGCTGAGTTTCTTCTAAACAGTCTCTTTTATTGCTCCTCACCTATAGACAGAAATCTTGCCAATACATAAAGCAACTACCTGCATAGCTAAAGATATACTCTGCAAACTTCTATGGAGGAGCTGTCCTAACCTTCTTTTGTCAAATCAAGCTATCTAAACTTCTTGCTCCTCTGGAATGCAGCCCCTCCCTCCTGGGAATCCAGACTACATTCCATCATAGGCCTGTAATAATACTTCTGATCTGCCCATCCAATCATGTCTTTCTCTCAACCAAGTCTTTAATTCCAGGGATATTTCATTCATTCAGAAGGTCCTTTATCAACACTCTTTTTTGACCACAGAGAAGGTTTAAAAAAAAAAGCAGCAATATGGCAAATGTGATGCCATGATGCAAGTCCTCCCCCCTGTGTACATATGTTAAGAGGTCAGGGATTGAATTATGAGGCACATCTGCCATCTTGCTTCTTTTAACCTCTACTAGCAGAGGGTCTGGATCACAGCTAATCTTCACCTAAATATGGAATTGTCCAGAGTGGGGAACCAGAAGAATATTCCTGCTGCTTTTTATTTTTTTATTTTTCTAGGCCATGCAAGTGTTGAAAACCCCACAGTTATGCAAGAACCAAAAGCGATGTATGAATCACGTGGGAAGGCCCTTCCTATCACCCAAGGTTTAGACTAAGTGAGTTGAGTCAACGGTGGAAATGTCAGCTGTTAGTTTTGCAACTGAACGTGATCAATATGTTCTGGGAGCCAACAGAACAGAAAGGCCAAAGGCGAAAAGTTGAGAGAGGCAATAACAAAATTTAACAAGTACATCGGGAAAAGGAAGAGGAGCTGTATTTAATAACTACCAGGATAATACAAGAATCCACTCTAAATGGGAGGGATGAAGGAAGTGCAGTAAACTGCCCTGAGACAAGTATCATCACTGGATGAGGTCAGTAAAGTTAAGATGATGGTCGTAAGAGTGTGAACAAGGTAACACCCATATTTTTATGTGCATCACACAACCGAGCCACATAAAAAAGTGATGAATCTTTAACTGCTCCATCTTGACTACTCCCCTGACTTTTCCGACAACAGCCTGTGGACAACTCTGCCCCACCAAATCCTCTCTCTCTTTCTCTCTAAACTTGGAATGGTGTCAGAGCCAAGTTCACAGGAGGTCTGGAGCAACATCTGAGAAGGTGACGAGGTTGTCTTCTCATTTCCCAGGTCAGTCTCCTGCAACGGCAGGCTATCCGATTTCCTTGTTTTCCTCTGCTCTTCAGATCTGTCTTTTTGTTGGGGATTTTGATGTCTATTGAATTATAATCCTGCATTTCGCATTTGCTTTCATTCCTCATGTGAGTTAGCTCTGGAAGGTGATATATGTAGAGAGACACATTCAGAAATGAATATGAGAAATAGATTCCCTTCTCATCACTGCATTGTTATGCCAGGATATTATGAAAGTCCCTTTTGTGCTTGGTAACCAAAAACAATTTAGAAGCCTTTTCCCCCCCTTCCCATCTAAAAAACAATATTTTTGAAAGACGATTATGATGAGGTCATGGCAGCTCAGATTCTAAAATGCTATCCAATTGTGTTTTGTTTTTTGCTCCAGCAGCTACTGCAGCTAATAACATCTGTGTTTGTTTCTCCAGACATTCAAAATACGTTGAAAACCAGACAGAATTGGAAGATTTGGAAGCCAAAGTGAAGAAGGATCAATTTCATCCATGGAACATTTCCTTCTCTTGCAACATTACCAATTAGCGAGGATCCATCCTGGGACACGATCACCACCCAATATTTATTCCAAGCTTCTACACCAAAACATCCCAAGCACCACCTGACCTTGACATAGAAGACATCATAAATAAGCTGTTCCTCAGAAGCCAGAACTCTTAAGATATAAAATTCTGCCAGTGGCTCATGAAGCTTATCACCCACTAAACAGTACACAAAGTAACAGCTATGGATTATGGTCTCCATGGGAAAGATGTTGCCAAAATATATATTTATTAGGTTGTATATGTTGCTCTGGTCCTTGACCAGCTCTCTTCATCTTACCATCCAAACAGGATTAAAACAACCTCAAAATATAAACTCCAATAGAATTTGAATTCTAATTAGGTTTAGCACTTGGAAATTATGGGAAGAACACAGTCTCATCAGGCCAATCTTATCTGGGTTTGTCCACCATGGAATTCCAATATCACCAGTGTTTCTCAATCTTGGCAACTTGAACATGTGTGGATTTCAGCTCCCAGAATTCCCTAGCCAGCATGACTGGCTGGGGAATTCTGGGAGTTGAAGTCCACACATCTTCAAGTTGACGAGATACTGGTAATTCTGGGAGTTGAGGTCCACATGTTTTCAAGCTGTCAAGGTTGAGAAACACTGCCATATACTTAACTGGGAAGCTGAGATAACATGCAGAAATGTGGCAATGGCATACTCCTTGGCTACTATGACCAAGATTCAACTCTTTTACAACTGTAGAAGATGGCAGCACCTAGTCAATCATAGTTTATCCTAAAGTTGTGGGGTTATGCCATGTTAATAATGACATGGGAGATAATTAGGAAATATCTGAGCTGTAAGTTAGAATGAAAATCCTTCCAAGATAAAGGCAGGGACAAGCCAGTTCTATGTTGTGGTGAGAAAACTGCACGGATAGGTCAATTGGTTAGCTGAGAACTCAAGAACACCTGTAGCTTCTGAAGGACAATCCATGCACCAAGGATTCCATGTTTAATCCCTTAAGGCTCTATGAGCACAATGTACGTGCAATTTGTTAGCCCTTCGGAATCCTACAGATAATAAACTGCAGCAAGCTATCAATCTTGATATGATTGAGGGGACTTTAATTAGTTTGCAGCCCCTAGAAGTAAGACAAACACAATTTCCTTTATTGTTCCTCACATATAGACAGAAATCTTGCCAGATGAAAGCAACTGTTTGCATCATTATAGATATACTCTGAGATCGCTAGGAAGCAGCCTTTTAAAGTCTTTTTTTCCTGGCCAAACTATCTAAGTCTCTTTCATGACTCATGGACTTCAACTCCCAGAATTCCTGAGCCAGCATGGGGGAACTATGGCCTCTTCCTGACTCCTGGACTTCAATTCCCAGAATTCCGGAGCCAGAATGGCTCAGCTTGGAAACGTCTCCCTTTCTCCTCAGCATGGCTGGCTCAGGAATTCTGGGAGTTGAAGTCCACGAGTCATAAAAGAGCCAAGGTTGCCTACCCTTGATCTAAGCTTTGTGGCCTCTTTGCCCTCTGGAATGCAGCCCCTCATTTTTGG